TACCACGTGGTAAAATATGTTCACCTTTATAATCGGGAAGATTTCTTCCTCTTTGTTTCATTTCTATTCTCTACTCTCTGTTCCTTGGTTTTGAAACTTTTTCCTATTCTTGTGGTGTTTTCCTTTCAAATTGTCTCATCACTAGGCATTTGACCATGGCACTTTTGGACTGACGCCAAATTAACTATGCCTCTAGTATATTATACCTGGATATTAATGTCATGGATCTGCTGACCATTATGTTTGAGCTGTTTTACACAATGCCAGTATGTATTTACCTAAAACTGTACTGGACTTCTTTGCTGAGTATCAGAGTACACGTGAGAGAAACATGTGTCTCTCTTGCTGCCATCCATTACCATGATGACTTACTTCATCGTTCTTTTGTCTAGACTTTTCTTCCCATTTACGGTTAAATTTCTTTTAGCTGGATACATTTGCCCGAGTTTTTGGAGAATGTGTCTTGGTTTTCTTTTCCACTATTAATTCAAACCTCTCCAGGAGCTTTAGTGTTACGTTTACATTCATCCTGTTTGCAACTTCTGTGAGTCTGACATATCTGTCTTCTCTCCCCACCCTCTTCCAAACATCTAGATGTCTTATTTGCTTTTACGGCTGATATATAACTGTCTTAATAAGTACTTTTAAAAAGCAATGCAGTCAGGAAAAACACCAGGGCTGGCAGCCTGAGGAGCCCGTAAGGTTACCCAGCATGGTGGTATGGGGGCTGCGGGGCTGGGATTCCATCCTAAGTCAAGGTGAACAGGAAAATCCAACTGAGGGACAACTGAGAAAAGCTCTGTTTGTCTGCAGTTCAGGAAAGGCTACAAAGCCTTGGAAGGGGGCTTCTTGTAAAGAGTACATCTCTAGCATCCATTAATTCAAAGAAGCAAAAAGGCATTCTTTTGTGTAGAATGTGTAGAGAGAAATAACTAATACAGGATATCCTCAAAAGCACCCACCAAGTTACAAGTAAACCATTCAGGAGATGGGCACACAATGTCTGCAATTCCATTTTTGACTCTTTGTAAAAAGAAGCTAAAATCACAGTTGGCAATGGTTCTGAAATGCTACAGTAATCCATAAATACTCCTTAATTTTCCTGTCGTTGCAGAATTAAGCTACTTCCAGCTCACACAGATCTTACCAGGTGTGCTAAATTGATGTCATTATAAGCCATCAGGAAATACCCACAGAGACCTGTAGCAACATTTAGAAGTTTTGTTAAACAGCTGTGTGTTATAATTGATTTGTATTATTTAAAACAGCTAAAGCAAGTTATCGCCGGATGTGGAAAAGGGATGACTGAAGACTCCAGGGAGACTTAACGCAGAAGAAAGCCAATCATAGGAACTTCATTTGAGCATTTTAAGATTATTACTAGAGGAAGTGCAATTAAATCATCACCATTTATCAATTATCATTATAAAATACTATGCAACCTTATCATGTTAATTTATTTATGAGAAGGTAACTAGTTGACTTTTGCTTTCTGCAATGAAAATAATGTAGTTGGTAAAAATACTTGAAGACGCTTTCTCTGAAACTGAGTGTCACTTTCCACAATAATCAATAGTAACTAGGAGAAACTAAAAAAGTTCAAATTTTACCTGAAGTTTATTTTTGACAATTGTCAAAAAGCTAAATTCATTGGAGCTTAAGCAATGTCTCAGTTCCTGCTCCCAGCTATATTTTACCATAGAGGGCATAAGCCAAAATACAGTTGTATCAAAAACGTGCAGAGGCATGGCACCCACATTTCATACAATACATGGAATATAAGTCCCAAATGACTAGTGTAAGATCCTGGATCTGGGAGAAAAAAAAAAGCAGTATGACTTCCTTTTCCTAATCTGCCAACTATTGAATCGAAGTGCAAAATCAGTCCTAGTTAAAAGTTAAATGACATCACATGTGGACAGTGGTAAGCTCAATTTTTCTTCCCAATGGTGGTTGCTCGTAGAATTTAAAATTTGTATCTGTTCTGGAGCAAAATCCTAAACCTTTGCTCTCTGCTGTTGCTGTGTACTGAGTACAAGCCTGATTTGGTGAGTTTGCCCAGTGACTTGCATTATACGATCTGTGTCCCTGCAGGCAAAGCCTAACCCACATAACAAAATGGGTCAGCAGAAAAGCAGAAAAGGAAGAGAAAACTCTGTATTTCACTTCAGAACCCTGATCCATTTGAGAGGGAAAAATAATCTTTTTCTTGTGGACCTAACTCTTGTTTTGATCTGAGGCTTGCAGGCTAGTGCTTACAGTATGTTTTTATTGTCTTTCATCATTCCTTTGAGGGTACTCTGATTTTTAGTGCTGTTTTATATTTGGACTGGCATATGCATCTCTCCGTTTACAAGGGAAAGTTTTTGTTGCACCAGTGGGTACTGGCACTGAAAACATGATAGTGTTCACACTGCTAATTGTACAGAGGTGCCTTCCTCTGCTCTGATTCATCTCCAGAGACATACACTTCCACAAACCGTGCATTCCCTTGTCTTTTATCACTTGACTGAATGACCATAAGCAAACGCACCCTCACTGCCTGGTGCTTTTCTGCTTTCATCTAAAATTAAAACTGTAGACCTCCTAAAGCTGCTTTCCCAGAGGCTCTCTCTTGCAGCCATGTGGGAAAGTACATTTCCAATCCAAGAATGCAGCTGGGGCCTTTGGACCAAGCTCAATACTGATGTAAAGCAGGCTAACCTCACTGAAGTCAGTGGAATTCAACAGCCATGAGCCACAGGTACACGATCTTCAGGGGGAAGGCATACATACAGATGGAATAGGAAAAAAAGTAAATTCCAAATTATGTGCTGGGATTGATGGAGGATCTGAACTTCTCTGGCTTCTGCTACCTGCCAGCAGTTCCACTGTCGCGCTATCACCCTGAGGTACAGTGTATATTACTTCAGGATAAACAGTTTAACTCATGTAATGGAAAGTCACCTTAATATTATGATCAAAAGTATTTTGCTGCTATAACTTTGCTCATTTCTCCAAAATATATTTCCTTACATCTTAGTCTTTGTCACTGGACTCACACTGGCTGAACCACCTCTGGAGAGGTGTCACAAGGATAACAAGTTCAGCACTCCACACATTTTACCACCCATAAAACCTGTTTCTGCAAGCCTTTGTGTGTCTACCTCACACACATCTCTAGTTATTAGACATAGCACAGTTTTGCTTTACTTGTTCCTTAAGAGGCAAAAATAATCTCTGGGTGGGAGTGACCTGGTTTTCCTTTTGGCTTCCACCACTCTGATTTTACACATTCCAAACATACCGTTTATGCCTTATTCTCAGTAGTATTGCATTATGATTTATTACCTATACAGGGCTGTAGGTTCTTGCCGTCCTTTGCAGATGAATAGAGAGAGTCGGTGCTTTCTACAGAGGAGCTTGAACATGGCTTTAGGCCACTGTATAATGTGAGCGTGGAGAAGGCACACCACCTCTGGAGTGCACATAGCAGATTCTCCAGTACATTTTGGCAGGTGGGAATATAAACTATCCACAGGCCAGAACAGCTCAGCTGGGAAATACCAGAGATGTCAGCCCTAAAGGATGCCTAGCACCTGACCGCAGGGTTACTGGTCTCCATCTACTAGGAATGCAAGAAGGTGGATGCAGTGAAGGCAAAAGTTAATTGAATCCCCTGCCTCTCTGTGCAGAAACAGTCATGATTTAGCTACAAATCTGAAACTTCAGCTATAAATCATGAAATTTTACTGAAAAAATCTGCACTGCAATACTTTCTCGTGCAGAAAATCAGTTATCTGCTGCCGTATTACACTATTTTATTAAAACCTAATTTTCTCATCTTCATTCTGCAGTAGACAGGTCAGGTAATTAATACTTTATGTAAAAGCATGTATTAGGAGAATCTGCAAACTCACAACTGGAATTCAGACATGCAGAGCAAACATCAGAAAACCAATGCTTGTTAGGTTCTCAGGGAGCTATTATAATACAAATAATAGTCTGTGGCTGCAAAAACATGAATGCTGCTTGTGTTCCCATGATTGAGTACCATCTACAAATAGGCATCCTGTAATTAAATTGTATTAGTTGAATTAAAGAAACACCTGTAGAACTCCGTTGAGGTTACATCCCTGTTGTGCCAGCTGCTGTGGTAAGAGACCTGTGTACCTCGAAATAGCTAAAATCAAAAAGGCAAGGAAGGAAAGGGGAGGAAGAAAGGACGCATTAGTATCTCTGTCTGATGATAAAATATTCACACCCAGAGAGTCTCTACTCTTTGTCCAAACTTGCACTGGAGGCCCAGAGCCAAGGGAAGAAACCAGAGCAACCAACTCGGCTCTGAACCGTATCTCACTCTTCCTTGAATCAGTCTGACTCTTTCCAAGAGAGCCATCATCACAAGCCTCGGAACAGTTGCTGAAATTATCTGGTGACTTTAAAACCACTTTAAATAAAAGTGATTTGAATAGCTTTAAAAGAAGGCAGTGCTATCACAGTTCACTAATCTGCTTCCTCTTGTAAAACACGGAATTCATTAACTACGGATTCTTAAGGACATTAGTTAGTGATAACTTATTATTTGACTGAGAGACCAATTTTCTCTCCTTCAATCCTAAGGATTGCAAGTCTATTTAAAACTGAAAATTACACAGTCTTTTTTGGTAATTTGATTAATAGACAATCTGTGAGAAGTTACACTGATATATTTTACTTACATAAATAAGTCTACTGTTGTATTTACTCAAATCCATGATTACTCAGAAATTGCCTGAAGTTTTCAGGATTAGCTTTGGAAAAGTATTTTAAATGAGAGATACTGTCACATGAAGTCTTACACGGTGAACAACTATGTATCCTTCAAAATCCACGACTAAAACTGCTGCTGGTAACTGGCTCAGCACAACCTCAGTTATACTCTTCTATATTTCACTTGTGCCCAGGAAGGGAATAAGGCCATTGAGGATTCAGGCATATATTGCATTCATCAATTTTGTAAAGGACCAGTGGTTTCTCACCTGCTGTGTAATAGTGTCCCAGGGCCCCTCCAGCAGACGAGCCTGGTAGCATGCATGAACACTCTTCCATATCTCATCCAGAGTTAAAGGTCTTCCGTCTGTGAGGGGGGGAAACAACCACCCACAGTCAAAGCTCTTAGGCACGCTCTATCTTTAATACAGAATAGCAAAAGTAAATCTGAAAATGCTAGTTATCTGGAAGCAGATGGAAAAAATAACAGCAAAATGTGACTGAGCCCCTTCTGGCCCCATAGCTCCAAAACAGTGTTGCTCGAATCCTGACTCAAGGTGCATATAAAAATACCCTAAATTCCCTGTTCAGCTTTCCTCTCTGTCAGCTGAGAGTAACAACTTGCTGTTCTGGTTGTAAGGTGTGAAGTTAAACTAATTCTGTAAAACAATGCTTGGATAAGATAAACTTAAAAACACAAAATAATATCATGAACAGTTCTCTCACGTAAATGCACTTCATATGCATTGCACGTGCAATTCATGGCAAGAGAGTGGAAAAAATCTAAGGAACAAAATTCTGCAGACAAAAGTTTACTGCATTTTGGTAACCTACATGCCCATAGTTTTTTCTTGAGCTGCATTTATATAGCATTGGTGCATCAGATTTTTAGTTGCGATGTTAGGATTATGCCAAGATATTAGTGTCAACCACTCAGAAAATAAGCATGTCAATTTTTCCTGAATATTTGGTTTTGGCAAACAGCAAGAGACTATTTTGATATACTTTCAATATGTAGCTTCATCTTGGCATTTATTAGGTGTCAGAAACCATTATCCTGTGACAAATAGTTTTATTCTACTGACATTTTCATGTCTGTAAAATGAACAAGATTTATTCACCCAATTAACATTTGAATGCCATGTTTAGATATAAATTAAAACCAGCTGCCTACAGCCTCTGTTTTATCTTATTTTCTGCACATATTTATAAAAAAGCACCAAGTTCTGAACTTACATAAGCACCATCTAGCAGAAGCATGTGGCAAATAAAGTATCTGAGGGGGTAACAGCACATAAACTAGCTATACTATGCCATCCTCATGAAGGTGAGACTTCGCAGACCGTCATACCCTCGGTCTTACGGTGGCAGATCCCAGAGCTGTGCTGGAGGTGGTCTAGCATTTACTAAGAAATTTGTTACAAGAGCCTAAGTTAACTTTAGAAGTATGCATTTATGCTCGGATCATCTGTGTGCAGGCGATATGAGATGCCACACATACTTTCAATTTTCAGTTTTCTATTCAACCTGTGAAGACAATGCAGAGAAAGTCCAAATGTAAAATCTAGAACAACACACATTCTAATGCAAAATTTGATTTGCTGCTCTAGATTTTATTCTGTACACCCTTCTTCGTATCCATGAATTTTTATAGTAACACTTGAGCAAATTCAGATTGTACGCTGGAATGGATTACTCTTGACTCTAACCATTAATCTCATTTACAGAAACATTCAAATATTGTTGAAGCATTAATCACTTTACAGTTAGAATTGAGTTTTGTCTTTACCTCATGGATTTTATTACTTCATGTATGAGAAACAGTATATCTTCCATCATATTTCAGTATAGATTTATTTTCATTTCACAGAAAAATACAAATACCTCCAAACTGAAAGTCTCACTTCACACCAGAGTAAGATCACAGACAATAAAATACTTAGTTAACATAGAGTAATTGCAGTGTTTCACATAGGAATAAAAAATTGATTTGGGCATTCTGATTATGCACTTACATATTGAAGTATGCTCAGATTTAAAATTTCCCTAATTTTCTACACTATTTTTATATATTTCACTAAACTTTAAATTATTTTGAATTAAGTGTGCTTTTTAAACCGAGTAAGCTTTCATACATTCCCTCAAGTATTGTGTTCCTGTAAATTTGTATTTAACTGACTAGCTCAGAAGATGGGAGGCCAGGTGCAGCAGGAAATAATAAGTTACCAATACTTAAGATGGATGTGAGATTCAGCTACATAGCTGGGAACTGCAAGACCCTTGCAAAATGAGAAGGGGTGGATGGGCAGTCCCCCCATCCTCTTTTGTGGGATGAAGACCTGAAAGTCTATTGAAAGTTTTCTCTCTCAATAAAATAAAATAAAACAACGCAACTACACTAAAATCTTAAAGTGACTGACAGAAGGACCCATTTCAGGTAATCTGGCTGGAGGTGTGTGTTTGTGTTTTAAAACTCCTCAGTTTGTGTGGTCATCTGCTTGGGATGGTATAACTGAATCCACTTTATTCGCAAGCTCCCAGATTTGCACAGAACACACATCTGTACTCTCTGGGCACTTTTAGACCCCTTTTTCCAGGGCTGCCAGCATTCACATGTTTAGCAGCCCTGTTACACATTCTTGCAACCCACTGAGACCTCAAATATCCAGCTGGGCTGACGGAGCAGTCTGTAATTGTTGCTGCTAGCAACAAGGGGCCACTGTGGCACCTGCTGAGCCAAGCAGCCTCTCTGCTTCTTGCCTCATTCTTTCCTGTGATGGGAGCTGAACTCAAAAAGTTCAGCCAGAAAAAGAAGGAAACAGCAGCACCAAGCCAGGAGAAGCGGCAGGAGAGAGAGGTGGGCTTCAGATTCACCCAGCAATGTATTTACTCATCATCCACCCACAACAACACAGCTGCTGAGGTGCTTGCAGCTTGTCCCGAGTCTTATCCCAAGTCTAGACGGGAGCAGGTGTGCAGAGAGAAGTGGAAGTTTGTGGTTATATGTACATTTTGTATAATTCAGCTCATTAAATAACTACAGAGAGTTTAAAGAAATAGCTGCTTGTGGGTCATGCCAGATTTACCCTACCTTTGTCTGAAGCTCCATGCCTGTAGTGCCACCAGTCTGGCACATGGCAGATCATCAGATCATCAGCACTAACCCAGGCTCTGAGAAATACAGGCTCTTACACAATTAACCTTACATCTTACCCAGCAAGAAAGGCCAAAAAGAGCCTGGGAAGTAATGAACTAAGATTTTTGTTGAGAGAAAGGAGATAAAGGATGGGAGTCAAGAGCTCCTAAGTAGAGGTTCTGCCTCTGCCATTAACTAACTAGGGGCTCGAATCAACCAGTTCATCTGCCTTAATAGTCAGGCCAGAAGGAGCACAGCCTTTCTATCACAAACACAGATTTTTATTACTTAAACTGTCTACAACAAACTTCTCTGAGAAAAGCTTCTTGATGGTCCGCTTGGGGTTAACTCATTTATGTCACCACAAATAAGGAATAGTTAAAAAGCAGATGGCTGAGTGCCCCCTCACAGCAGCATGGTGTGGCATTAAGACGACATTCAAGTTGCAGCTCCCAGCTGACGTGGCACCTTAATTTCTGCAAAAAAGCAGAAATTCTTTAGCCATACAAATTTCATGTACATTTTCAGAGGAAATTTTCAGGCTTCACAAGTTGCTGTATTCTGTTTTCTTGATGTTTATTGAGGTCTTGTAATAATTTCTTAGATTTCTAACTAACAGTTATTTGACATTTTTGGTGAAAAGGTGCACAAATTGTTTTGACGCTTCATTCTGGCATACTTTCCAAAGAAATACTACAGTTTTGTACTCTTAAGATACCATTACCACAAAACAAAAAATGCCTTTACAGCTTAGGAGAATATATGATTATACGAATGATTCAATTTTATTGATGTCCAAAGCCATGAAAAAACCACTTCATACGGGGCAGAGCTATTCTTCTGAGAAAGGGCATAGTGGTTACATGCTTCTGAGTTCAGGGAGTAAGCCTATATTCTGGAAAGTGCATCAGCCAGGTCCAGTATGGCTATGAATACAGAAAGTCATGCCTTCAGGGTTGGAGGAATTTACATTATCTTACAAGCTCCCTCTCTCTAACCATGGATTAGCACGTTTTTTTATTGGCAGGGACCTATCTCAATGTCAAGAGAGCTAGATGTATTTTGAGCTGGCCAACTTGAAAATCCCATTCCTTCTCTCTTTTCTAGAGGAGTTAGGCTGCAGGTCTTACTGACTCCCATTAGTCCTGCTCTTTCTTTTCAGTGCTTAGCCAGCATTCATGATTATCCCTCTACCTTTGTAGGAAAAATAAGAAGAGAAGTGTGAGCCAAGCCATTATTTTCTTGACATGCAGGCTGATTCCTGAAGGATGCCTGTGTCCACCTGTGACTGTGTTGCTGCTATCGCCCTCGGTGCAAGAGGTTTTTGAATGTATGGCTTCAGACAATGACAGTTCAGAAAAAGACCAACGTTCCCTGACATCTTAAAGACTAAGAAAAGGGGAAAATACTCTGCTGATTAAAGAAAGCTTACTGGACCTAGCCCAGCCCATCTGGCTGATGCCAGCATTGAAGGGGAAGGCTAATTGCCGATGCCATCTGTCTCTAAGAGGCCCAATTGCTGACATCAGATATCAGCAGGGGTTCCTGCATTTCTTCCACCACCGATCTGGTAATCTCAGAAGCCAGAGAAAGAAAGAAGGGCTCCCATTTCTGAAAGGTATGGCATGTGTAAGACTGATTTTGGGGAAATGACACCTAGTTCTCTGGGACTGTGAGATACTGAGGACCACTACCTTGAGCTCATGACACAGACTGGGACTTCAGTAGGTTTGAATTTAGGAATACTTGCCATGTGGAAAGTATCATGAGGTAGTGAAAAATGTTTATTATTCATATATATACATAGCCTAAAAATATCTTCTTGTATCCTATAATGTTCCCAAACATCTTTCCAGACAGTCATCACACTTAATCTGTTATCTTCAGGTGAAGCATTTGTCCTTGTGCAGAACAAGATCTTCCCTGTAAATCTGTCCCCAGAGACTACCAAAAAGGTTAGATGTCTCTCACGATGTTTTAGTTCTGTTACAATCAAAATTTCAAACCCTTACCTTGCACTACCTTACACATCAAACTTCTCACCAAAAAAAGAAGTCTAAAGATGAATTCCAGAAAACAAACTATTTCATCCAATTTAGACAGCAGCAAGGATAAAGATGCAATATAACTTTTGTCCTTCTGCAGGAAGAACTGATCTGTAATGTTTGAGCACAATGGCTAGCAGAGAGGAGTGAGAACTGGATGTCCTCACCAACACAAGCTCCTGAAGATACCAACCACGCTGAATATGACAAGAAAATCTCCCCAGCAACTCTTTTGGAAGCCTTTTTTCTAGGAGGTTCTGCAAGAGACTAAGCGCTCATTGAAAACTGGACTCACATACGATGGGAGAAAGGCAGGATTTAATTGTTCTAGAAAAGTTTTTAAGGAGTCTATTTGGAAGAGCGCAGATTTGGACAGGCTGGCACCAGTTGCTATTATAACACACAAAGTGAGGAAGTGAATATTGCAAAACAAGCAAAACTACTTAGTCAGGTTGAACAGAAGAATTATTATTTCCTAGGCAGGCCTCGAGGTGTAATGGCCAGTTAACATACTGCCAGAGAGGAAGCAGAGCTTTGAATTCAAACTCTGTGCCCTGCTGCTGGGGAAGGCAAGACAGGGAAGGGCTGTGGAAATACTGGAAGGATTCTATCTCACCTTCAGGTACCTCCTGCAGCAAGCTCTAATTAACAGGAGGATCAGAATGGACAGGATTTGAGGGAAACCATGAACAGCCCACGAGACTTGTGAGGAACCCGATTCTGTTACTTAATCTACAAATAAGGGTAGGAATTTAGACTGGGAAATTGGTGTAGGTCTCGGAACAAGATTCCTCCCTGATTATTTCAGATGAGGAGTGCAGTGAGTATTACTAGTTGTCTGAGAAACAAGGTAAGGAGCCTATCACATGAAAGGAAAAAAAAAAAAACCTCAGGGCATTACCTAGAGTTCTCCTCATAGGAGGTACAAGATAAGACAAAAAGATACTCTGCTCAGACATTTCAAGTGATTCTGAGCGACTGTCACCTGCACATTCCTGAAAACCCCACACTGGGACCTTCAGACAGCACGGCACAGACAGGCAAATAACTTGCAGGGATGACAGAATTTTTCATTTTCAAAAGTAAGCTATCCATAATTAAAATCTCAGAATATTAGCTGAAAACATTATTGGAAAAGTACTTACTGCCAGCATTTTGTATCCTTCTCTCTTCAAGAGTCAGAGAATGTTAAATGTTAAAAGAGAATGTTAAATGCTGAAGAGAACCCAGGTGACTTTAGGAATTATCTAAAAAAAGTCCTTGTTTTTCATTGTGAAAGGTTCCCAAAAAGTGTTTTTAAGCATAATTGTACTTGTAGGAACAATTACAGTTTTGTACTGCAAGGGGAGCTGTTGGCACATAATACCACGATTGTGCATTAGATCATCCACTAGCTTCTGTAATATCCACTTCCAGCTATAAGGAGTCATGTTTCAACACCTCCGATTCCCTGATGCTGACAAGCTAAACAACTTGTTTTGTCTCTGGGAGCTCTTCTCTGGTGATTAACTGCTTATGGTGAATACTAATTATATGAAAGTACAGTACAGTAGAAATAGTGTCCTATTTCCTCTACCTGCAGCGTCTCCATCCTCTTCTGTAGAGACAGTGCACTATTAACTCAGCTAAAATCAAGAAGATGACATTTTTCAGGACCACAAATAGGTTAATCTATCTCTTACAGCAAAACTTTGTCTTACTATCTGCATAGTAAGTTTAAAGGCAAAACACTGCACATTTGTAAATGCCTGTAATAATTCTAGAAATAAATTTGCAGCAGGATGTGTGCGAATGAGTTCTGTCGGTGGTAAAGGCAGAGCAATGTCCCCAATTCCCCATATCCCAGTTTGAAAATTTACCCCAAATTATCCATTCCTGAAACTGCACCTCAGACTAAAATCTTTCCACCAGGGAGTCTATGAGAATTTGTTCTTCAATTTTAAATCTAAAGTGCCTTTTAAAATGCTAACACTGCAAAATTAGAAACCATTAAACAATATAAGGCAGAGAGTGATTAAATCTACCAAACACATTCAAAGCAGCTTAAGCTACTTTTTAATTAAAAAGGAAAAGATATCACTGGCAACATTCAAACGTCTTTATCTAGATAAAGTTAGGAAGTTATTCAAAACACAAAAGATGCTGATGCTACCATGCAGGAAACTGAATAAAATTACTTAAAGATTTCAGTCCCTCTGCCCTAGGTACACAGTCTTTGGGCAGAAAGGAAGGGAGCACAGCCAGTGCTGCAGTGTGATCACTCTGTGCTTGCTGATTAAATAAGTGACACCAACAGCGGCCTTGGAGGGAGGCTGTGTGTTCCTCCTTCCTTCCTGACAGGATGGTGAGTGAAATCACAGCGGCTACAGCCATTGAGTAATGGGTAACAAGATGTACGTATCAGGGAGGAAAGAAGATCAGTTAGCATTTCAGAAGCCAGTTTTAATACATAGAAAGAGGCAATAACTCACTGGTATAATTTTTTTTTTTAAGCAGCAAATTTAAATAGAAAACAGCATACGCTTTTAAAGGCACATTTAGATCCCAGCCTTGTGGCTCAAATTCAGGCTCCAAAGAAACAGACATGGTTCTGCTGAAGCACTGTAATCATGTCCACTCATTTTGTAGCCAAATTCAAACCTGCAGCTTTAAGTTTTTGTACTCATTTAACGAAAAGAACAAGAAAAATGACCAGCAGTTTTAGTCAACCACAGGCAAGATGCCAGGAGCCAAAGATCAGCCTCCTTCAGGCTGAGATGATACCATCTGCTACAAGGTCCTGAATCTCTGTGTCGGGAGTATTACAAAATTTACTGGTGAACAGCCTCATCTTACTTTCCTGTTACATATGGTCATTACTCTGTCCCTCAATTTAATACAAAATCTGTGGTTTTAACATCTATTGTCTCCACCATATTTTTATTCTTCCTTTTGTCTATCAGAAGATTGGTCTTACCTAAAAAGCATGCCCTAAAATAAAGCACAGGTACTTGGTAGCTGCTGGAGTACAAGACATGATATTCATAGCGAATCACTTCTTCCGTTGCACAAACTCCAGCTACTTGAGAATCATCCAAAGACTCCTAAAAAAACCAAACATGAACACATTAATACATCAACTTTTGTATTTGTATCAAGGGAAAAGTAATTAATACTACTGTAATAAATTCAATAAATATACAGAACAGAAATAATGGCAATCGCCCCTTTCACAGCACTACTCATTTGAATTCCAGAAGGAATTTTTCAATTCCAGCAAGGAAATCACAAAAGTCCAAAAGCTACAAAGACATCTTACAAACTCACTTCCACAAACTATGAACTACGTGTAAGCACTTGCAGAACTGAGGTCTTTCTAAGTGCACGCTGCTTTTGTAAGCAAAAGACAAAAGCTCCCTAAACCTTTACAGCACAATAACTGGCACAGTGAGGTGACAACAGCTGCGTAGCTCCTCGTTACCTTTAGTATTGACCATTTTAAAAGTGTATCCTTAAATAATCTGGTTTTGCTTGCCAAAAGACAAACCAAATGTATCCACCAAAAATTCTCTCTTCCACTTCCTTTGAAGCTTTTTGCCAGAGGTTGTTTTTGCTAATACTTGTAAAACTTGAGACAATTTTTTCCTGTTAATGTATATTTCAGGTGTAACCTAAGTTTATTGTAGGTTTGAAATAAATCAGAAGAGATGGAACTTACTGCCTTGAGATAAACCCCAGTTGCAGCATAAATTTCCTAACATTTCAAATTAATACTCAAACAGTGCGAAGCACCCAGTTGTTTTTCCTTTTTTAAAAATCGTCGATACTCAATGTACCTGAAAATGGAACCATTACATTAAAAATGCCATTAAGATTAAATGTTAGAACAAACTTTCCAAGAAGACACCATGGATGTGGACGTCTTTGGTTTTCAAACCCCCAAATTTACATGCATGAACAAAGCAACCATAATGCCCCACAGGTTGGGTGTGCATTTCACAACTTTACTATTGCCAAGCAACTGTGCATATTGGCTTACTGTCTCTGTCCAAGCAAAATAAAAAAGATTGAACCGAAAATAAGAACCAGCATCCTTTGAACACCATGCTGGTTTAACACATGAGAAATTTAAAGCTATTTTGCATTTTTTTCTCATATCCTTAAATCAACTCAGCCATGAATCATTCTATGAAGAGATATAAGAACTGATAAACTGTAACAGAAATGACTCTTAAACAGAAGTGATTTCCCCCAAATTTAGTGTGTTAGACAACCAGATGCTGCCAAGGCACACGCATAGAAGACCACGAATGGAGAGCCCAGACCTTGGGAAGCTACACTCCAAGGTACTGTAAATACATTTTTGGACATTAAATGAGAAAATCATAGATGCTCACAGAAGGGAAGGTTTCTAAGGAAATTCTGGACAGCTGCAGGAATGGTCAGTTTTAGCTTATCAGGAAACAGATACCGAAAGCACTGAAAAAGAACACTAAAAAACGCTTGTTTTAAAAACTGCCTGTGAAGGGATACTAAAGACAATGTGCCAGAAGGGACAAAGATGATTACTGCATCTGACTTCACGGACCAGGTGAGGTTAGGTTTGCTATGCCCAGTTCCCATGTAAACGTGTAGCAGGCTGAGAAGGCAAGTTCTTTTCCTCCTCACACGTCGCACCCTCTGATCAGATGTGAAATACAGATTAAAAAAAGCTCTCACAGAAAATAGAAATATCTTCTCTATAATAAGCTGAACTTTCTTTAAAGTGGATCAATTTTCAATGCTTTAGTAAGAATAGCAAATAGCAAAAAAACCTAAAAGACTACATGTTCCTGGCAAGACTATCTGTTCATGTATTAAATACTACTGTTCTGGAAAACAGCTGTATGCATATGCATACTTCTCTCTCCTGCTTTCTGTATAGAAGGGTACAATGACTGTATACCCTCACATAAATAGCAATATCTAATTGGTAATGATTTTAGACTGACTGATAAAGAAGCCATATTCTCTATTACCTCCAAATACTTAGGAAAAGAAGTAATACACAAAAATTAAATACTCAAACCTGTGTACCCTTAGGGAAAATGTGCTTTATAAAAACCCTACTTACTATCTCAGAAAGTCATAAGTTAAGCTAGGAGCAACTTAATCATTAAGAATTCAACTTACTGGGTTAGGATTTCAGCTGGTAAGCAAATTCTATCTTCATTTTCTGGATTAGGAAAAGGAAAGCAAAGGAGAGACTTTCTAATTTCATTGTTCCTTGAGATGGCCACTGAGAAATCTTAACAATTTCTGCCATTACCAGACAGATATTAGACAGTGAAGTACATCCCAAAACATCCTATTACTCCCAGAGAAAGGTGATTTTATCCAGAAGTGACCTTCCCAGCAGATGTACATAGTTTGATGGCAGGAAAGGCAGCAGAGAAGGGAGGAAGACAGCTGTAATGCTTTGCTCTTTTGGAGAGCAGAGTATTTTTGGACACATTTATTTTGCATTATCCTGGATTTTTTTGACTGATAGTTGAGGCAGTGTCTGAAATCAAGCATTCAGCTAAATGCAAAGCTCAAAGAAGCTTTGAAACTGACATTCTTCTGCTCTGTAACAAGATGGACTCCGGTCTCCTACAAAGTTTCCACACTTATTCAAAATAAGTTTCTGATACTCAGATCTCTTTTTCCACTGTTTCTAGTTGTGATCTGCATACAAAGGCAGATAGCTGAATCCTTCTTAGGGCTACCTCTAATACCCCTTCCTTTTGGTAAACAGCGGTTTCAATACTTCTTACATAAAAAGATATGGCACTGATGTGTAATCCTGTACTTTACAGTCTCAGTAAGTACAACACACAGTATTTATGCAGGGAAAGTACATTTTGGAGCCTAAAAGTTTTTGATCGTATCTCTCTAGCTGATGAGATGAACTTTGCTGATGAGCTGAATAAAATGAGTACAGTCATTTTAGGCAATCTTCAGAACACCTAAAAATCTATGCTGAATAAAGCCATGGACCCTCAGAGTTTTTATCAGCCCAAAAGCAGAGATTTATTTTCCACTCCTTAAACAACTACTGATAAAGCCATAAATATAAACCACAGGTGTAACATATTAAAAAAAAAAAAAAAACAAAACCACAGAATTTTCTTTTTATTTATGTCATATGATAGCCTATTTAATTTTTTTCTTCAAGTAATTGCTCTACTTTCCTTTTTTATGTATACTGTTGTTCTATCTCTTTTTAATTCGAGGCCGGTAGCTAGTGGAGTTCCCCAGGGCTCAGTAGTCCACCTGGTCTTGTTCAACTTATTAATCAACGACCTGGACGAAGGGACAGAGCGCACCCTCAGCAAGTTCGCTGATGACACCAAACTGGGAGGAGCAGCTGATAAGCCAGAAGGCTGCGCTGCCATTCAGCGGGACCTGGACAGGATGGAGAGGTGGGTGGAGAGGAACCTGATGAAGTTCAACAAGAGCAAGTGTCGAGTGCTGCACCTGGGGAGGTCGAACCCCATGCACCAGGTACTGTGTCCAGTTCTGGGCTCTGCAGTTCAAGAAAGATGAGGAACTCCTAGAAAGAGTCCAGAGGAGGGCAACAAGAGTGATAAAGGGACTGGAGCATCTCCCCTGTGAGGAAAGGCTGAGAGAGTTGGGCTTGTTCAGCCTGAGGAAGAGAAGACTGAGAGGGGATCTCGTCAACACATACAAATATCTTAAGGGTGGGTGTCAGAGGGCGGAGCCAGACTCTGCAGTGGTGCCCAGCGAGAGGACAAGGGGCAATGGGCACAAACTGAAGCATAAGAGGTTTCACTTGAATCTGAGGAAGAACTTCTTTGCTTTGAGGGTGACAGAGCACTGGCACAGGCTGCCCCGGGGGGCTGCGGAGTCTCCTTCTCTGGAGATATTCAACCCCCGCCTGGACAATGTCCTGTGTAACATGCTCTAGGAGAATCTGCTTTAGCAGGCGGGTTGGACTGGATGATCTCCTGAGGTCCCTTCCAACCCCTGCCATTCTGTGATTCTGTGATTCTGCAATTTTTGAGCTAATGCTGAATTTTAGTTACTGTAACAGACAATATCAAAATCAATTTTAACATCGGAAGATTTCATAACTGCTGCAAAACTTTCATACATGTACATACATCACAAAACAAGTTCATAATTTTGCTTTGAACTTGTAAAGACAAACATACCTGCATTAAAAAAAAAGTTAACAAAAAAGGGGGTTTGACCAAATCACAATCATTAAAAATGCTATGAAATAATTTGATTCCTCAATTTTTTGTATCTGCTTTGAAAATTTGCTTGCATGCTTGCCATGCTTCAAGTTAAAACTGTGAATCCAGGACTCACTGACTGTTTCCTAAACAAACTGGAAAGTTGTCATCAGGAAGCATCTGCTCCTCTATTGCTCTCACGTAAAATCATTCTCGTGTTATCATAATGGACTGTTGAGTAGATGTTTAAAAGCAGTGTATGTATTAGAAAAAAGATAAGCAGCAACTACCTAATTAATTATATTAGTTCCATCATAAGTGAATTATCACTAAGTTTAATTGATATAAATTTGTTCTCAACATCCAAGTAACCCCTAAACAAATTAAGTTGATTAGCTCCCTTTAAAATGATAACTTATTTAAATCGATAGATAAGAAATGTCACTCTGAAGGCAAAACAACGTATTTGTACTATCTTTATTCCTCCTGGTGAAGAAGGCAAGTTAAAAAACCGTGGTAACAAGTTAATTTGACAGCAGGGGAGAGTTAATAGTGTGTTTTGATGGAGGAAGGTGTGGGTTATGGCAGGTCACCTTTGGAGGGAGGGGTCCAAAGGACAGGGAAGGGCCAGGGAAGTGACACGGTAAACTGGTAAGGCAACAGAATTACCCAATAAAAAAGGGACTTTTCACTGCTGGCTGCAAAGTTTCCCTCTCTCCACCTCATCCACAGAGGCCGCCTGAGCCAGCCTTCCTTCCTCAGCCCAAATTCCCCTTGAAATGCAGAAGCAGGCCCTAATGACCTTTTTGGGGGAAAAGCTAAGAGAAGTGCTTAAAGAACAGCAGGCACATTTCTCCTGGATCTCAAGTCAGTGATGCCTTTCT